GCTATATATGGAACTGCTTAATAATGAACTGCCTTATATATTGTACACCGTCTTTGTATACGAACTGCTTATATGAACTGCTCATATTGGAATTGCATATATGGTACTAAGCTTATAACTGGAAACGCTTAATATAAAAATAATAGAAAATATTTATTTATATTTATTTATGTTATTTATTTTTATATATAAGCGTTCCAGATATAAGCAGTACCATATAATGCTATACCAATATGAGCAGTTCCATATAAGCATTTACCGTATACAATCCGTTCCATATATAAGTCATTTTCATATATAAGCAGTTCCATATATCAGCAAGTTTCATAAATATCATTCCATATAAAGCAGTTACCGCACCACACTCTACTCTACTCTGCACCACACTCTACTCTACTCTGCACCACACTCTACTCTACTCTACTCTGCACCACACTCTACTCTACTCTGCACCACACTCTACTCTACTCTGCACCAAACTCTACTCTACTCTGCACCACACTCTACTCTACTCTGCACCACACTCTACTCTACTCTGCACCACACTCTACTCTACTCTGCACCACACTCTACTCTACTCTGCACCACACTCTACTCTACTCTGCACCACACTCTACTCTGCACCACTACTCTACTCTGCACCACTCTACTCTACTCTGCACCACTCTACTCTACTCTACCACTACTCTGCTCTACCCTACTCTACTCTACACTAAACTACTCTACACTACTCTACTTTACACTACTATACTCTACTTTACACTACTATACTCTACTCTACTCTACATGACTCTATTCTGACAGACAGACACACTGAGTCTTATATTAAGATTGTATTGGATGTTTACAGATGTAATAATGTACAAGATACATGAATATAAATGCTGGCTGTTATAAAGCCGCTGACAGGACAGGAGTGAGGAGAGGGCACCACGCTATACTCTACTCTGCACCACACTCTACTCTACTCTGCACCAAACTCTACTCTACTCTGCACCACACTCTACTCTACTCTGCACCAAACTCTACTCTACTCTGCACCACACTCTACTCTACTCTGCACCACACTACTCTACTCTGCACCACACTCTACTCTACTCTGCACCACACTCTACTCTGCACCAAACTCTACTCTGCACCACACTCTACTCTACTCTGCACCAACTACTCTACTCTGCACCACACTCTACTCTACTCTGCACCACACTCTACTCTACTCTGCACCACACTCTACTCTACTCTGCACCACACTCTACTCTACTCTGCACCACACTCTACTCTACTCTGCACCACACTCTACTCTACTCTGCACCACACTCTACTCTACTCTGCACCAACATACTCGCTACACTCTACTCTACTCTGCACCACACTCTACTCTGCACCACACTTACTCTACTCTGCACCACACTATACTCTACTCTGCACCACTCTACTCTACTCTGCACCACACTCTACTCTACTCTGCACCAACTCTACTCTACTCTGCACCAAACTCTACTCTACTCTGTACTCTACTCTACTCTACTACTCTACTCTACTCTACCTACCCTACCCTACCCTACTCTACTCTACTCTACTCTACTCTACTCTACTCTACTCTCTACTCTACTCTACTCTACTACTCTACTCTACCCTACTCTACTCACTCTACCCTACTACTCTACTCTACTCTACTCTACTCTGTACTCTCTACTCTGTACTCTACTCTACTCTACTCTACTCTACTCTACTCTACTCTACTCTACTCTACTCTACTCTACTCTACTCTACTCCACTCCACTCCACCCTACCCTACTCTACTCTACTCTACTCTACTCTACTCTACTCTACCCTACTCGACTCGACTCGACTCGACTCGACTCTACTCTACTATAGTCTACCCTACTCTACTCTACCCTACTCTACTCTACCCTACCCTACTCTACTCTAGTCTACTCTACTCTACCCTACTCTACTCACTCTACCCTACTCTAGTCTACCCTGCTCTGCTCCGCTCCGCCCTGCCCTGCCCTACCCTGCCCTGCCCTTCTCTACCCTAACCCTACCCTGCCCTGCCCTACCCTACCCTACCCTACCCTGCCCTGCCCTGCCCTGCTCTACCCTACCCTACCCTACTCCACTCCACTCCACTCCACTCTATCCTATCCTACCCTACCCTACCCTACCCTACCCTACTCTACTCTACTCTACTCTACTCTACTCTACCCTACCCTACCCTACCCTACCCTGCCCTGCCCTGCCCTGCCCTGCTCTGCTCTGCTCTACCCTACCCTACTCCACTCCACTCCACTCCACTCCACTCCACTCTACCCTACCCTACTCTACTCTACTCTACTCTGCTCTGCTCTGCTCTGCTCTGCTCTACCCTTCCCTACCCTACCCTACCGTACCAAACTCTACCGTACTCTATTCTACTCTACTCTGTACTCCACCCTACCCTACTCTACTCTACCAGAGTGGAGTAGAGTAGGGTACTCTGTACCCTACTCTACTCTACCCTACTCTGTACTCTACTCTACTCTACTCTACTCTACCCTACTCTACTCTACCCTACTCTACTCTACTCTACCCTACTCTACTCTGTACTCTACTCTCTACTCTACTCTACTCTAGTCTACCCTACTCTACTCTACCCTACTCTACTCTACCCTACCCTACTCTACTCTAGTCTACTCTACTCTACCCTACTCTACTCACTCTACCCTACTCTAGTCTACCCTACTCTACTCTACTCTACTCTGTACTCTACCCTACTTTACTCTACTCTACTCTACTCTGTACCCTACTCTGCTCTGCTCTGCTCTGCTCTACTCTACTCTACTCTACCCTACCGTACTCTAGTCTACTCTACCCTACTCTAACCTACTCTACTCTACTCTACTCTACCCTACCCTACTCTACTCTGTACTCTACTCTACTCTACTCTACTCTGTACTCTACCCTACTCTACTCTACTCTACTCTACTCTACTCTACTCTACTCTGTACTCTACTCTACTCTGTACTCTACTCTACTCTACTCTACTCTACTCTACTCTACTCTACTCTGTACTCTACCCTACTCTACTCTACTCTGTACTCTACTCTACCGTACCCTACCCTACTCTACTCTACTCTACTCTGTACTCTACTCTACTCTGTACTCCACTCTACTCTACTCTACTCTACTCTACTCTACTCTGTACTCTACTCTACTCTGTACTCTACCCTACTCTACTCTACTCTGTACTCTACCCTACTCTACTCTACTCTACTCAACCCTACCCTACTCTACTCTACTCTACTCTACTCTACTCTGTACTCTACTCTACTCTGTACTCTACCCTACTCTACTCTACTCTGTACTCTACCCTACTCTACTCTACTCTACTCAACCCTACCCTACTCTACTCTACTCTACTCTACTCTAATCTACTCTACTCTACCCTACCTGACCCGACCCGACCCGACCCGGCCCGGCTCGGCTCGGCTCGGCTCGGCCCTACCGTACCGTACTCTACCCTACTCTACTCTACTCTACTCTACCCTACTCTACTCTGTAATCCACCCTACCCTACTCTACCCTACTCTACTCTGTACTCTACTCTACTCTACCCTACCCTACTCTACTCTACTCTACTCTACTCTGTACCCTACTCTGCTCTGCTCTTCTCTTCTCTACTCTACTCTACTCTACTCTACTCAACTCTACCCTACCGTACTCTACTCTACTCTACTCTACTCTACCGTACCCTGCTCTGCTCTGCTCTGCTCTGCTCTACTCTACTCTACTCTACTCTACTCTACTCTACTCTACTCTACTCTACTCTACTCTACTCTACTCTGCTCTGCTCTGCTCTGCTCTGCTCTGCTGTACCCTTCCCCCTACCCTACCGTACCGTACTCTACTCTACTCTACCCTACTCTACTCTACTCTGCCCTACTCTACTCTACTCTACCCTACTCTAACCTACTCTACTCTACTCTACCCTACTCTACCCTACCCTACTCTACCCTACCCTACTCTACTCTGTACTCTACTCTACTCTACCCTACTCTACTCTGTACTCTACTCTACCCTACCCTACCCTACCCTACTCTACTCTGTACTCCACCCTACCCTACTCTACTCTGTACTCTACCCTACTCTACTCTACTCTACCCTACTCTACTCTGTACTCCACCCTACCCTACTCTACTCTACTCTACTCTACCAGAGTGGAGTAGAGTAGGGTACTCTGTACCCTACTCTACTCTACCCTACTCTGTACTGTACTGTACTCTACTCTACTCTACTCTACCCTACCCTACCCTACCCTACCTTACTCTACTCTACTCTACTCTACTCTACAGGGAACAGTGTTTATTATATTCTTGGTTTGTTCAAAAGTGAAAAGTTTAACTTTAATTATAAATAATTATAAATGATAATGATGTGATTATGGTGAGAGTTAAACTTGTCCAGCAGAAAATGTTTTTCCCTCAGTTTATAATCATACAATAATAAAACATACAATAATTAAACATACATGAATAAAAGCTAAAGCGTGGACCCTGTGCACATGTTTGTAACTGCTGTAATGACAGTGTGTGGCCTGTAGGGGGCACTCTGCACATGTTTGTTACTGCTGTAATGACAGTGTGTGGCCTGTAGGGGGCGCTCTGCACATGTTTGTAACTGCTGTAATGACAGTGTGTGGCCTGTAGGGGGCACTCTGCACATGTTTGTAACTGCTGTAATGACAGTGTGTGGCCTGTAGGGGGCACTCTGCACATGTTTGTTACTGCTGTAATGACAGTGTGTGGCCTGTAGGGGGCGCTCTGCACATGTGTTTGTTACTGCTGTAATGACAGTGTGTGGCCTGTAGGGGGCACTCTGTGCATGTGTTTGTTACTGCTGTAATGACAGTGTGTGGCCTGTAGGGGGCACTCTGTGCATGTGTTTGTTACTGCTGTAATGTTTCTGTAAAAAATGGCTTCAAACATAATTCTCCACATTTATGATTCCTCTGGTGTCAGGAGCAGTGGTACTGCGCCCTCTGGTGTCAGGAGCAGTGGTACTGCACCCTCTGGTGTCAGGAGCAGTGGTACTGCGCCCTCTGGTGTCAGGAGCAGTGGTACTGCACCCTCTGGTGTCAGGAGCAGTGGTACTGCACCCTCTGGTGTCAGGAGCAGTGGTACTGCACCCTCTGGTGTCAGGAGCAGTGGTACTGCACCCTCTGGTGTCAGGAGCAGTGGTACTGCGCCCTCTGGTGTCAGGAGCAGTGGTACTGCACCCTCTGGTGTCAGGAGCAGTGGTACTGCACCCTCTGGTGTCAGGAGCAGTGGTACTGCACCCTCTGGTGTCAGGAGCAGTGGTACTGCACCCTCTGGTGTCAGGAGCAGTGGTACTGCACCCTCTGGTGTCAGGAGCAGTGGTACTGCACCCTCTGGTGTCAGGAGCAGTGGTACTGCACCCTCTGGTGTCAGGAGCAGTGGTACTGCGCCCTCTGGTGTCAGGAGCAGTGGTACTGCACCCTCTGGTGTCAGGAGCAGTGGTACTGCGCCCTCTGGTGTCAGGAGCAGTGGTACTGCACCCTCTGGTGTCAGGAGCAGTGGTACTGCACCCTCTGGTGTCAGGAGCAGTGGTACTGCGCCCTCTGGTGTCAGGAGCAGTGGTACTGCACCCTCTGGTGTCAGGAGCAGTGGTACTGCGCCCTCTGGTGTCAGGAGCAGTGGTACTGCACCCTCTGGTGTCAGGAGCAGAGCTGGAGGGTTAGGGTTAGTACCTGTGCTACATGAAAACCGGAGCACCCTGAAGAAACCTACGCAGACACAGGGAGAACATGCAAACACCACACAGAAAGAACTGGAAGTGGAATCAAACCCAGGACCTTGTTGCTAAGTGCTAACCACTCACAGCAGTATCAGTAGCAGTAGTAGCAGTAGTAGTAGCAGTAGCAGTAGTAACAGTAGTAGTAGCAGTAGTAGCAGTAGCAGTAGCAGTAGTAGCAGTAGTAGCAGTAGCAGTAGTAGCAGTAGCAGTAGCAGTAGCAGTAGTAGCAGTAGTAGTAGCAGTAGTAGTAGCAGTAGTAGCAGTAGTAGTAGCAGTAGTAGCAGTAGTAGCAGTAGTAGCAGTAGCAGTAGCAGTAGTAACAGTAGTAGTAGCAGTAGTAGCAGTAGCAGTAGCAGTAGTAGCAGTAGTAGCAGTAGCAGTAGCAGTAGTAGCAGTAGCAGTAGCAGTAGCAGTAGTAGCAGTAGTAGTAGCAGTAGTAGTAGCAGTAGTAGTAGCAGTAGTAGTAGTCACTGCTGTGTTTGGACTAAAATGACATGAAGAAACTTTGAAGAGAAAGTACTGAATACCATGTGGAACACATTACCCCTCCTCTGAGTACCATGTGGAACACATTACCCCTCCTCTGAGTACCATGTGGAACACATTACCCCTCCTCCGTCTGCCAACATGGATCCCCAGAGGAAATCCTGTTCTGCTCCTAAACCTCACAACCAGGATGAGACATGGCAGCTTTGAATTTATGATTTATTACTGTATGAACCAAGGAGGAGCACAGGGACTGGCCTCCTGCTGGGACTCTCAGGAGCACAGGGACTGGGACTCTCAGGAGCACAGGGACTGGCCTCCTGCTGGGACTGTGGTCACCGGTGTACTCTCTCGTGCAGCTGCTGTAGTAACCGGTGTACTCTCTCGTGCAGCTGCTGTAGTAACCGGTGTACTCTCTCTTGCAGATGCTGTAGTAACCGGTGTACTCTCTCTTGCAGATGCTGTAGTAACCGGTGTACTCTCTCTTGCAGATGCTGTAGTAACCGGTGTACTCTCTCGTGCAGATGCTGTAGTAACCGGTGTACTCTCACACGCGTGTGTGTGTGTTATTTTGACTGCTCCCATTAAAATTCCCTCAAAAATGTTTTGTTTTCCACCGTTTTTAATAAAGTAAATAGTTTTTATCTTTACTCTCTTTTAATAAGTATAACAAGCTAGCGGCTAACTGCTAACAGTGTGTTGCTGTGGTTACGAGCTCTGGTGATAATGATCTCATGTTTCAATAAAAGCACATGCACAGATGTACAGGCACTGAACTCAAAGCAGTCAAAGTGACTGCTCTGGTGCTAAGCTAACCTGGAGCTAACGCTGCTTCTGGGATGAATAACGTCTGAATAATTGCTTTTCTTGTTCCTCTGAGGCTCGCAGTAGATGCTCAGCATCAAATACATCACAAACAAAGACAGAAACTTAACACAAAACGGACAAAAATATGTTCTTACAAATATATCATAATAATAATGATAAAAAAAATACTACGGTACAAAAGTTTCTTCTTCAAACGTCTGAGAGTCCAATGTTCAAACAGAACAAGATCTATGAAAGCTACACTCGATTTAATGATTTCACCTTTTGTTTTTGTTGTTCTTTTTTTTGCTGTTGCCATTGGAACCGAGGAGAGCAGGGTCTTGATTTAGCAGGCCTAACAAGTGCCTGTTGTAAACACTGAAACCCCTACTGGATTTCACACTCTCTCTCTCTGGTCTCTCTCTCACCAGAGACTGAACTCTCTGGTCTCTCTCTGGTCTCTCTCTCTGGTCTCTCTCTGGTCTCTCCCTGGTCTCTCTCTGGTCTCTCTCTGGTCTCTCTCTCTGGTCTCTCTCTCTGGTCTCTCCCTGGTCTCTCTCTGGTCACTCTCTGGTCTCTCTCTGGTCTCTCTCTGGTCTCTCTATGGTCTCTCCCTGGTCTCTCTGGTCTCTCCCTGGTCTCTCTCTGGTCTCTCTCTCTGGTCTCTCTCTCTGGTCTCTCCCTGGTCTCTCTCTGGTCTCTCTCTCTGGTCTCTCTCTGGTCTCTCTCTGGTCTCTCTCTGGTCTCTCTCTGGTCTCTCTCTCTGGTCTCTCTCTGGTCTCTCTCTGGTCTCTCTCTGGTCTCTCTCTGGTCTCTCTCTGGTCTCTCTCTGGTCTCTCTCTGGTCTCTCCCTGGTCTCTCTCTGGTCTCTCTCTGGTCTCTCTCTGGTCTCTCTCTGGTCTCTCTCTTGTCTCTCTCTGGTCTCTCTCTGGTCTCTCTCTGGTCTCTCTCTGGTCTCTCTCTGGTCTCTCTCTGGTCTCTCCCTGGTCTCTCTCTGGTCTCTCTCTGGTCTCTTGCCGTTCGTAACATGGAAGTATGTGTTTACAAAATTCTACCTAAGATAAAATGGCCGTTGTAGATTGAGTTCTAATTCTAAGTCTTGAGCTTCTTGCTTCTCTGATCGGGGTGGGGTTTCTCCTCTGCGGTGGTGTCCTGGTCGGGGTGTGTCTGGTGTTTGAGATTGTCCTTTCTGTCCCTCTGTGCTTGCCGTAGCTGCCGTTTCAAAGTCTTCACGCGCTCGCGCAGGTGGCCGTTCGTTTTCTCCAGGATCCGCACCTTCTGCGTCAGATTCTGCACTTGCTCTTCCTCCTCCAACAGAGCCTTCTGCACCGCCCAGCACAGCATCTGCACGAGAGAGTACACCGGTGACCACAGCAGAAGGAGAGAGTACACATGTGACCACAGCATCTGCAAGAGAGAGTACACCGGTTACTACAGCATCTGCACGAGAGAGTACACCGGTGACCACAGCAGAAGGAGAGAGTACACATGTGACCACAGCATCTGCAAGAGAGAGTACACCGGTTACTACAGCATCTGCACGAGAGAGTACACCGGTTACTACAACATCTGCACGAGAGAGTACACCGGTTACTACAGCATCTGCACGAGAGAGTACACCGGTGACCACAGCAGAAGGAGAGAGTACACCGGTGACCACAGCATCTGTAAGAGAGAGTACACCGGTTACTACAGCAGCTGCAAGAGAGAGTACACCGATTAATACAGCATCTGCAAGAGAGAGTACACCGATTAATACAGCATCTGCAAGACAGAGTACACAGGTGACCACAGCAGCTGCAGAAGGAGAGAGTACACAGGTTACTACAGCAGTAGAAGAGAGTACAGAGGTTACCATAGCAGCTGCAGAAGGAGAGAGTACAGAGGTTACCATAGCAGCTGTAGAAGAAGAGAGTACAGAGGTTACCATAGCAGCTGCAGAAGGAGAGAGTACAGAGGTTACCATAGCAGCTGCAGAAGAAGAGAGTACAGAGGTTACCATAGCAGCTGCAGAATGAGAGAGTACAGAGGTTACCATAGCAGCTGCAGAAGGAGAGAGTACAGAGGTTACCATAGCAGCTGCAGAAGAAGAGAGTACAGAGGTTACCATAGCAGCTGCAGAAGGAGAGAGTACAGAGGTTACCATAGCAGCTGCAGAAGAAGAGAGTACAGAGGTTACCATAGCAGCTGTAGAAGAAGAGAGTACAGAGGTTACCATAGCAGCTGCAGAAGGAGAGAGTACAGAGGTTACCATAGCAGCTGCAGAAGGAGAGAGTACAGAGGTTACCATAGCAGCTGCAGAAGAAGAGAGTACAGAGGTTACCATAGCAGCTGCAGTAGAAGAGAGTACAGAGGTTACCATAGCAGCTGCAGAAGGAGAGAGTACAGAGGTTACCATAGCAGCTGCAGAAGGAGAGAGCACAGAGGTTACCATAGCAGCTGCAGAAGGAGAGAGCACAGAGGTTACCATAGCAGCTGTAGAAGAAGAGAGCACAGAGGTTACCATAGCAGCTGCAGAAGGAGAGAGTACAGAGGTTACCATAGCAGCTGTAGAAGGAGAGAGTACAGAGGTTACCATAGCAGCTGTAGAAGAAGAGAGCACAGAGGTTACCATAGCAGCTGTAGAAGAAGAGAGTACAGAGGTTACCATAGCAGCTGCAGAAGGAGAGAGTACAGAGGTTACCATAGCAGCTGTAGAAGAAGAGAGCACAGAGGTTACCATAGCAGCTGTAGAAGAAGAGAGTACAGAGGTTACCATAGCAGCTGCAGAAGAAGAGAGTACAGAGGTTACCATAGCAGCTGCAGAAGGAGAGAGTACAGAGGTTACCATAGCAGCTGCAGAAGAAGAGAGTACAGAGGTTACCATAGCAGCTGTAGAAGAAGAGAGTACAGAGGTTACCATAGCAGCTGCAGAAGGAGAGAGTACAGAGGTTACCATAGCAGCTGCAGAAGGAGAGAGTACAGAGGTTACCATAGCAGCTGCAGAAGAAGAGAGTACAGAGGTTACCATAGCAGCTGCAGTAGAAGAGAGTACAGAGGTTACCATAGCAGCTGCAGAAGGAGAGAGTACAGAGGTTACCATAGCAGCTGCAGAAGGAGAGAGCACAGAGGTTACCATAGCAGCTGCAGAAGGAGAGAGCACAGAGGTTACCATAGCAGCTGTAGAAGAAGAGAGCACAGAGGTTACCATAGCAGCTGCAGAAGGAGAGAGTACAGAGGTTACCATAGCAGCTGTAGAAGGAGAGAGTACAGAGGTTACCATAGCAACTGTAGAAGGAGAGAGTACAGAGGTTACCATAGCAGCTGCAGAAGGAGAGAGTACAGAGGTTACCATAGCAGCTGTAGAAGGAGAGAGTACAGAGGTTACCATAGCAGCTGTAGAAGAAGAGAGCACAGAGGTTACCATAGCAGCTGCAGAAGGAGAGAGTACACAGGTGACCCCGGTAGAAGGAGAGAGCACAGAGGATACTGCAGCAGAAGAAGAGAGTAGAGAAGTTACCATAGCAACGACAGATCTCTCTCTCTGTAAGTAAGTAATGTTTATTTATCTAGCGCCTTTCACAGACCAGAGGAAGTGGTTATATTTGGGCATTAGTCTCTCACACAGAGATGGGAGGGGCCAGTACAGGAGGCACACACCTATTGGACATGTTTTTAGTGGTAGGGGAAACTGGAGCACCCGGAGGAAACCTACGCAGACACGGGGAGAACATGCAAACTCCACTCAGGCCTCTCTCTGGTCTCTCTCTGGTCTCTCTCTGGTCTCTCTCTGGTCTCTCTCTGGTCTCTCTCTGGTCTCTTTCTGGTCTCTCTCTGGTCTCTCTGGTCTCTCTCTGGTCTCTTTCTGGTCTCTCTCTGGTCTCTCTGGTCTCTCTGGTCTCTCTCTGGTCTCTCTGGTCTCTCTCTGGTCTCTCTCTGGTCTCTCTCTGGTCTCTCTCTCTGGTCTCTCTGGTCTCTCTCTGGTCTCTCTCTGGTCTCTCTCTGGTCTCTCTCTGGTCTCTCTGGTCTCTCTCTGGTCTCTCTCTGGTCTCTCTCTGGTCTCTCTCTGGTCTCTCTCTGGTCTCTCTCTGGTCTCTCTCTGGTCTCTCTCTGGTCTCTCTCTCTGGTCTCTCTCTGGTCTCTCTCTGGTCTCTCTCTGGTCTCTCTCTGGTCTCTCTGGTCTCTCTCTGGTCTCTCTCTGGTCTCTCTCTGGTCTCTCTCTGGTCTCTCTCTGGTCTCTCTCTGGTCTCTCTCTCTGGTCTCTCTCTGGTCTCTCTCTCTGGTCTCTCTCTGGTCTCTCTCTGGTCTCTCTCTGGTCTCTCTCTGGTCTCTCTCTGGTCTCTCTCTCTGGTCTCTCTCTGGTCTCTCTCTCTGGTCTCTCTCTGGTCTCTCTCTGGTCTCTCTCTGGTCTCTCTCTGGTCTCTCTCTGGTCTCTCTCTCTGGTCTCTCTCTGGTCTCTCTCTCTGGTCTCTCTCTGGTCTCTCTCTGGTCTCTCTCTGATCCCTCTCTGGCCTCTCTCTGGTCTCTCTCTGGTCTCTCTCTGGTCTCTCTCTGGTCTCACATGGTTTCATTTATGTCTGATCCAGAGTCAGGACATGAGGTCAGAGGTCAGAGAACATTGTTCAAGAGCAGAGGTGTTTTCTTTGTATAACACAGTTACAGAGACTGTGTGTCTCTGTGTGTCTGTGTGTGTGTCTGTGTGTGTGTGTGTCTGTGTGTCTGTGTGTTACCCCAGAGTCCTGGTCCCAGTCCAGACTCAGATCCAGACTCAGGTCCTGTGAGTCTCTGCTGCAGTTTGAAAACTGGAAGAGACTTGAAAACATTCTGTGGTTTTCAGCGACGTCAGAGAAGATGGCGTCCTGGAAGTTCACTCCGTGAGGAAGGAAGTTGTAGTCTTCATCCATCCTGCAAACACACTGGATTACTCTGAGGTCTGAGCCAGGGACCAGAGCGAGACCAGGGAGGGACCCGAGAGAGACCAGAGAGGGACCAGAGCGAGACCAGGGAGGGACCCGAGAGAGGCCAGAGAGGGACCAGAGCGAGACCAGGGAGGGACCCGAGAGAGGCCAGAGAGGGACCAGAGCGAGACCAGGGAGGGACCAGAGAGAGGCCAGAGAGGGACCAGAGCGAGACCAGGGAGGGACCCGAGAGAGGCCAGAGAGGGACCAGAGCGAGACCAGGGAGGGACCAGAGAGAGGCCAGAGAGGGACCAGAGCGAGACCAGGGAGGGACCAGAGAGAAGCCAGAGAGGGACCAGAGAGAGACCAGAGAGAGACCACAGAGAGACCAGAGAGAGGCCAGAGAGAGACCAGGGAGGGACCAGAGAGAGGCCAGAGAGGGACCAGAGCGAGACCAGGGAGGGACCAGAGAGAGGCCAGAGAGGGACCAGAGCGAGACCAGGGAGGGACCAGAGAGAAGCCAGAGAGAGACCAGAGCGAGACCAGGGAGAGACCAGAGAGAGACCAGAGAGGGACCAGAGAGGGACCAGAGAGAGACCAGAGAGAGAGACCAGAGAGAAGCCAGAGAGAGACCAGAGAGAGAGACCAGAGAGAGACCAGAGAGAGACCAGAGAGAGACCAGAGAGAGACCAGAGAGAGACCAGAGAGAGACCAGGGAGGGACCAGAGAGAGGCCAGAGAGAGACCAGGGAGGGACCAGAGAGAAGCCAGAGAGAGACCAGAGCGAGACCAGGGAGAGACCAGAGAGACCAGAGAGAGACCAGAGCGAGACCAGAGAGAGACCAGAGAGAGAGACCAGAGAGAGACCAGAGAGAGACCAGAGAGAGAGACCAGAGAGAGACCAGAGAGAGACCAGAGAGAGACCAGAGAGAGAGACCAGAGAGAGAGACCAGAGAGAGACCAGAGAGAGACCAGAGAGAGACCAGGGAGGGACCAGAGAGAGACCAGAGAGAGAGACCAGAGAGAGACCAGAGAGAGACCAGAGAGAGAGACCAGAGAGAGACCAGAGAGAGACCAGAGAGAGAGACAAGAGAGAGACCAGAGAGAGACCAGAGAGAGACCAGAGAGAGACCAGAGAGAGAGACCAGAGAGAGACCAGAGAGAGACCAGAGAGAGACCAGAGAGAGACCAGAGAGAGACCAGAGAGAGAGACCAGAGAGAGACCAGAGAGACCCAAATGTTTTCTTCTGACTTTTATCAAACATAACTGTTTTGTTAAACTCGCAGTAACAAAGGACCTGTTTCTGAAATCCCTAAAACCTATTTCTCGTTTTTTTTCAATTCTTCAAACATTACTACTTCTGGATCTGTCATTACACCACAGAGGAATGCAGCGGCTTCCTGTGGACCAGGACTGAGACTGTAGACCCAGGACTGAGGCTGTAGACCCAGGACTGAGACTGTAGACCCAGGACTGAGACTGTAGACCCAGGACTGAGACTGTAGACTCAGGACTGAGGCTGTGGACCAGGACTGAGGCTGTAGACCCAGGACTGAGACTGTAGACCCAGGACTGAGACTGTGGACCAGGACTGAGACTGTAGACCCAGGACTGAAGCTGTAGACCCAGGACTGAGACTGTAGACCCAGGACTGAGACTGTGGACCAGGACTGAGACTGTAGACCCAGGACTGAGGCTGTAGACCCAGGACTGAGACTGTAGACCCAGGACTGAGACTGTGGACCAGGACTGAGACTGTAGACCCGGGACTGAAGCTGTAGACCCAGGACTGAGGCTGTAGACCCAGGACTGAGACTGTAGACCCAGGACTGAGACTGTGGACCAGGACTGAGACTGTAGACCCAGGACTGAAGCTGTAGACCCAGGACTGAGGCTATAGACCCGGGACTGAGGCTGTAGACCCAGGACTGAGACTGTAGACCCAGGACTGAGACTGTAGACCCAGGACTGAGACTGTGGACCAGGACTGAGACTGTAGACTCAGGACTGAGGCTGTGGACCAGGACTAAGACTGTAACCCCGGAACTGAGGTTTTAGACCCAGGACTGAGGCTGTAGACCCAGGACTGAGACTGTGGACCCGGGACTGAGGCTGTAGACTCAGGACTGAGACTGTAGACCCAGGACTAAGACTGTAGACGCAGGACTGAGACTGTGGACCAGGACTGAGACTGTAGACCCGGGACTGAAGCTGTAGACCCAGGACTGAGGCTGTAGACCCAGGACTGAGACTGTAGACCCAGGACTGAGACTGTGGACCAGGACTGAGACTGTAGACCCAGGACTGAAGCTGTAGACCCAGGACTGAGGCTATAGACCCGGGACTGAGGCTGTAGACCCAGGACTGAGACTGTAGACCCAGGACTGAGACTGTAGACCCAGGACTGAGACTGTGGACCAGGACTGAGACTGTGGACCAGGACTGAGACTGTAGACTCAGGACTGAGGCTGTGGACCAGGACTAAGACTGTAACCCCGGAACTGAGGTTTTAGACCCAGGACTGAGGCTGTAGACCCAGGACTGAGGCTGTAGACCCAGGACTGAGGCTGTAGACCCAGGACTGAGGCTGTAGACCCAGGACTGAGGCTGTAGACCCAGGACTGAGACTGTAGACCCAGGACTGAGACTGTGGACCAGGACTGAGACTGTAGACCCAGGACTGAAGCTGTAGACCCAGGACTGAGGCTGTAGACCCGGGACTGAGGAATGCAGCGGCTTCCTGTGGACCAGGACTGAGGCTGTAGACCCAGGACTGAGATTCAGAAACTTTCCAAATGTTTTCAATCTGTGAATCATTAGAGAAACATGAAAAACACGATTTACCCTCCCCCAGACCACAGGCGTAAAACACAGGAAACACAGGCGTGAGACACAGCCGTGAGACACAGGCGTGAGACACAGGCGTGAGACACAGGCGTGAAACACAGGCGTAAGACACAGGCGTGAGACCCAGCCGTGAGACACAGGCGTGAAACACAGGCATGAGACACAGGCATGAGACACAGGCGTGAGACACAGGCGTGAAACACAGGCGTAAGACACAGGCGTGAGACCCAGCCGTGAGACACAGGCGTGAAACACAGGCATGAGACACAGGCATGAGACACAGGCGTGAGACACAGGCGTGAGACACAGGCGTGAGACACAGGCATGAGACACAGGCGTGAGACACAGGCGTGAGACACAGGCGTAAGACACAGGCGTGAGACCCAGCCGTGAGACACAGGCGTGAAACACAGGCATGAGACACAGGCATGAGACACAGGCGTGAGACACAGGCGTGAGACACAGGCGTGAGACACAGGCATGAGACACAGCCGTGAGACACAGGCGTGAGACACAGGCGTTAGACACAGGCATGAGACACAGGCGTGAGACACAGGCGTGAGACACAGGCATGAGACACAGGCGTGAGACACAGGCGTGAGACACAGGCGTGAGACACAGGCATGAGACACAGGCGTGAGACACAGGCATGAGACACAGGCGTGAGACACAGGCGTAAAACACAGGCGTGAGACACAGGCATGAGACACAGGCGTGAGACACAGGCGTGAGACACAGGCGTAAAACACAGGCGTGAGACACAGGCGTGAGACACAGGCGTGAGACACAGGCGTGAGACACAGGCGTAAAACACAGGCGTGAGACACAGGCGTGAGACACAGGCGTAAAACACAGGAAACACAGGCGTAAAACACAGGCGTAAAACACAGGCGTGAGACACAGGCGTGAGACACAGGCGTAAAACACAGGCGTGAGACACAGGCGTGAGACACAGGCGTAAAACACAGGCGTAAGAGACAGGTGTAAGATACAGGTGTAAGATACAGGCGTGAGAGACAAACGTGCGACACAGGCGTAAGACACAGGCGTAAGACATAGGCTTAGAGAGAGTTAGAGCTAAATGTGATGAGTTTGCACATTTCCTCAATGACGAGGTTCGAAAACACCGTCGTCTCCAATCCACAGCAGCTCTTTGAACTAACTCTCTTTGCACCTGTATAACATCTAACTAACTCTCTTAGCACCTGTATAAGATCAAACTAACTCTCTTAGCACCTGTATAAGATCAAACTAACTCTCTTTGCACCTGTATAAGATCAAACTAACTTTCTTTGCACCTATATAAGATCAAACTAACTCTCTTAGCACCTGTATAATCAATCAATCAATTTTATTTATAGAGCCCTTTACAGCACACAAGGCGACCAAAGTGCTTTACAATAAAATCACATAAAATCTGTTAAAAGCCTTCATACAACCAAACAATAAAAACAGATAAAACCATGAGAAACTAAAGTGTCGCCGTGCGACTGAGTATTAAAAGCCAGTCTGAAAAAATATGTTTTAAGTCTGGATTTGAAAAGGCCAAAGTCAGTGATTGTGCGTAGGTCAGGGGGCAGAACTGAAAAGGCTCGATCACCCCAATGTTTGGACCGAGTCCTGGCACTTCCAGAACGAGCTGATTTGATGACATCAATGATCTGCCCGAGTCACCAACTGTTAGAAGTTCGGACAAGTATGAAGGGGAGAGACCATTGAGAGTTCGTACAGGTATGAAGGGGAGAGACCATTGAGGGTTCGGACAAGTATGAAGGGGAGAGACCATTGAGGGTTCGGACAAGTATGAAGGGGAGAGACCATTGAGGGTTCGGACAAGTATGAAGGGGAGAGACCATTGAGGGTTCGTACAGGTATGAAGGGGAGAGACCATTGAGGGTTCGGACAAGTATGAAGGGGAGAGACCATTGAGGGTTCGGACAAGTATGAAGGGGAGAGACCATTGAGGGTTCGTACAGGTATGAAGGGGAGAGACCATTGAGGGTTTGTACAGGTATGAAGGGGAGAGACCATTGAGGGTTTGTACAGGTATGAAGGGGAGAGACCATTGAGGGTTTGTACAGGTATGAAGGGGAGAGACCGTTGAGAGTTCGGACAGGTATGAAGGGGAGAGACCATTGAGAGTTCGGACAGGTATGAAGGGGAGAGACCATTGAGAGTTCGGACTGGGGTGATGTGTTCACGTCTGGGGGTGTTTGTTAAAAAACGAGCTGCAGCATTTTGCACCAACTGGAGACGATTAAGACAGGACCGGGGGATTCCAAAATAAAGGGCATTACAATAATCAATTCTAGAACTTATAAAAGCGTGGATGGTTTTCTCCAGTTCAGAGCGGTTTAAAAAGGCTTAACCTTAGTTAAAATCCGCAGTTGATAAAAACTCGACCTGACCACATTGTCAATCTGTTTCTCAAAATGAAATGAGTTGTTGACGACAACACCAGTTGGTTTACAGTTAAAAGACGGTAAACCATAATTTGAAACACGTGCATCACCAAACAGAATAAAATCAGTTTTATCCTCATTTAAAAGGAGGAAATTCTGCTGTAGCCACAGTTTTATGTCAGATATCAGATGTTTTATATACAGTCTGTTAGATAGATTTGCAGATCATCTGCATAGCAGTGAAATTTCAAATTATGCCGTGCGATAATGGACCCCAGTGCCAACATATACAGAGAAAACAACATGGGGCCCAGAATCGAACCCTGAGGTATTCCACACGTCAAAGAAGCAATCAAGGAGGACAGATCATCAATCATTACAGAAAATGTTCGATCTCTGAGATATGATGGAACCACTTAAGTGCAGCACCACAAACGCCAACGCGATGTTTCAGGCGAGACAAAAGAACAGAGTGATCAACAGTATCAAAGGTTAGATCAAGAAGCACCAAAACAACAGGATATTCAGCATCAACAGACACGGTTATATCATTGTGTACCTGCAACAGTGCGGACTCTGTACTATGTCTAGTTCTAAACCCAGATTCAAATTTTTCAAGAATTGAATTGCATTCTAAAAACATTTGTAGCTGAATAAAAACTACTTTCTCAAGAATTTTTAAGATAAAAGACAAATTTGACACAGGTCTAAAATTTGATAAAACAGAAGAATCAAGCTGTGGTTTTTTAAGCAGAGGTCTAACTACAGCATGTTTGAAAACATCAGGGACATGTCCTGAACAGAGAGAAGTATTAATTAAAGCTACAAGGAAAGGCCCTATAGAAACAAACACTTCTTTCAATCATTTTGTTGGAAGAATGTCCAAAGGACAGTTTGTGGTTCTCGTACATTTGACGATGTCAGTACGGGACGAGAGAGAGACCGGTACCAAATGGTCAAACACTGCAGAGTGTGAGGCAGCAACAGTCTGGCCTGCACTGCTGCCACTTTATCAACAAACAACTGTAAAAGTCTCACAACAGTGTTGATAGTAACACACAAGGGCCGTGTCCATTCAAAGAAATAATGTTCGACAAAAATTGGCCTCTTTCTTGGACTATAAGATGAAACTAACTCTCTTTGCACCTGTATAACATCAAACTAACTCTCTTAGCACCTGTATAACATCAAACTAACTCTCTTAGCACCTGTATAACATAAAACGCACTCTCTTAGCACCTGTATAAGATCAAACTAACTCTCTTAGCACCTGTATAAGATCAAATTAACTCTCTTAGCACCTGTTTAAGATCAAACTAACTCTCTTAGCACCTGTATAACATCAAACTAACTCTCTTAACACCTTTATAACATCAAACTAACTATCTTTGCACCTGTATAACATCAAACTAACTCTCTTAGCACCTGTATAACATAAAACGCACTCTCTTAGCACCTGTATAAGATCAAACTAACTCTCTTAGCACCTGTATAACATCAAACTAACTCTCTTAGCACCTGTATAACATAAAACTAACTCTCTTCGCACCTGTGGAGGATGAATCTGTCCCAGAGATAATACCTGGATGTACCCACTAGATATCTGAAGTCTGTTCTGAGCAAACGTCCCTTCATTCTATCATCAGGCCCCTGCTGAAAACGGCAGTCATCAGGCCCCTGCTAAAAAAGAGCAGTCTGGATGCTACGGTACTTAACAACTATCGTCCCATCTCAAATCTGCCATTTATGGGGAAAGTCCTTGAGAAAGTTGTCTACCTACAGCTTACTAGATTTCTTATAATCAACAACTCATTTGATATGTTTCAGTCCGGCTTTAGACCCCACCACAGCACTGAGACTGCTCTCGTTAAGGTTACAAACGATATCCGGCTGAACACTGACGCAGGCAAAGTCTCAATCTTAATCTTGTTAGATCTGAGTGCTGCCTTTGACACCGTCGACCATGAGATCCTCTTACAGAGACTAGAGGACTGGGAGAAGAAGTGAGAGAGACCTCACCTCAGGAAGAAGTGAGAGAGACCTCACCTCAGGAAGAAGTAGTAGCTGTTGTTCTCCGTGACGCTGTGGGAGAAGCACGGGAAGTATCCGAGTCCTGAGATGTTGAACCTGGAGCCCGCGGGCAGCTCCAACATACTGCCCCAGGCCTGGTCACACAGCAGCTCCACCTCTGCAGAGTACAGCAGGTCCGACCCCGGCAGGAGGGGGTACTCTCTGTGCGTCTCTCTGTGCAGCGCCAACACACGACCAAACACTATGATCTCAGCCAGCTCGGCTCGGCACGACTCGGTCTGAGGTCTCCAGTCCCCAGGCAACTGGCAACCCCCGCCCCACGAGACCACCACGGGGACCACAGCCAGGACCAGAGCCAGGACCAGCACCGGGAAGGTCCACATCCTCCAGGGAGAGAGGGAGGAGAAAGGGGGGAGAGAGGGGGGAGAGAGGGGGGAGAGAGGGGGGAGAGAGGGGGGAGAGAGGGGGGAGAGAGGGAGAGAGGGAGAGAGGGAGGAGAGGGGGGGACAGGGAGGGAGAGAGGGGGGAGAGAGGGAGGAGAGAGGGAGGAGAGGGGGGAGAGGGAGGGGGAGAGGGAGGAGAGGGAGGGAGAGACGGGGGAGAGAGGGAGGAGAGGGGGGGAGAGGTGAGAACAGGCGGAGGAGAGGGAGGGGGGAGAAAGGGAGGAGAGAGGGAGGAGAGAGGGGGGAGAGGTGGAGGAGAGAGGGAGGAGAGGGAGGAGAGGGAGGAGAGAGGGGGGAGAGAGGTAGGAGAGGGGGAGAAAGGTGGAGAAGAGAGGGAGGAGGGAGGGGGAGGAGAGAGGGAAGAGAGAGGGAGGAGAGGTGGAGGAGAGGGGGAAGAGGGAGGAGATGTGGAGGAGAGGTGGAGGAGAGAGGGAGGAGAGGTGAAGGAGAGGTGGAGGAGAGGTGGAGGAGAGAGGGAGGAGAGGTGGAGGAGAGAGGGAGGAGAGGTGAAGGAGAGGTGGAGGAGAGGTGGAGGAGAGAGGGAGGAGAGGTGGAGGAGAGAGGGAGGAGAGGAGAAGGAGAGGTGGAGGAGAGGTGGAGGAGAGAGGGAGGAGAGGTGGAGGAGAGAGGGAGGAGAGGAGAAGGAGAGGTGGAGGAGAGGTGGAGGAGAGAGGGAGGAGAGGTGGAGGAGAGAGGGAGGAGAGGTGGAGGAGAGGTGGAGGAGACCAAAGACTTGCCTTAGAACATGGTCTGGTTTCGCCAGAAAACACACTTCAGTTCAGAGTCTGAAGGAGAGAGAGAGAGTCCCCAAAACCCTGCTCCGTGTCTCTAACTTTCGGGTTAGTGCCCTCCTCCTCCTCCTCCTCCTCCTCCTCCTCCTCCTCCTCCTCCTCTCCTCCTCCTCCTCCTCCTCCTCCTCCTCCTCCTCCTCCTCTTCCTCCTCCTCCTCCTCCTCCTCCTCCTCTTCCTCTTCCTCCTCCTCTTCCTCTTCCTCCCTCTTCTTCTTCCTCCCTCTTCTTCTTCCTCCTGCTCCCTCCTCCTCCTCCCCCCTCCTCCTCCTCTTCATCCTCCTCCCTCCTCCTCCCTCCTCCTCCCTTCTCCTCCCTCCTCCTCTTCCTCTTTCTCCTCCTCTTTCTTCTCCTCCCTCCTCCTCTTTCACAGTGATTCCCATCGTAAAGATCCATGAGTCACAGAGAAAGTAGAAAACATGGGTTTGTGTCGGTGACGCGGTCAGTGTCGCCTCCTAGTGGTGAAGAGTTTATGAGTTCACGTCGAGAAAGATAGTTTTATTAGGACCAGAAAAACCAATGAAATATCAGTGAATTATGGGAATACGTTTGCTTCATGAAAAAAGGTCCGTGAAAACACCCACAAATAATTATGATGATAATAATAATAATGATATTGGTGAAAATAACCAGATGTTATGGCGCTAACATCTGAAGGCTCATAACATCTGAAAGCTCATAAAAATGAGCCTTTGGAGAAAGCTTACACTATAATTATGACGTAACAGACTATGGTCGTTATGGGGCCAGTGGCGCAATGGATAACGCGTCTGACTACGGATCAGAAGATTCTAGGTTCGACTCCTGGCTGGCTCGTCTTTTTAATCTCTTCGTTCTATTTTCTTAAACAAAGTGTTTACTTGCTATCAACAGTTATAATGCGACGTTTCATACCTTCCACACTGACGTTTTTAAAAATCGTTATTGTGGATGAATTCCTCCTCATGCTAAGCTAGGCTAAGCTATGTGCTACATTATGCGATACAATTCAATTTATTCTTGTATCGCCCTAAATCACAACAGAAGTCATCTCAGAAACTTAACAAAACCATTGAAATCACTAACACAGAAAATACACACATGTATTGGTCCAAAAGAGAGACCAGTGTCCATGAATGTTGATAAATTATGTTGCTACAAGGCTCTAATTACATAAACTTAGCCTTGTAGCAAAACCAACTTAGTTCCCGATCTACCAGTCCCTGTGCTCCTCAGAGTCCCAGCAGGAGGCCAGTCCCTGTGCTCCTCAGAGTCCCAGCAGGAGGCCAGTCCCTGTGCTCCTCAGAGTCCCAGCAGGAGTCCAGTCCCTGTGCTCCTCAGAGTCCCAGCAGGAGTCCAGTCCCTGTGCTCCTCAGAGTCCCAGCAGGAGGCCAGTCCCTGTGCTCCTCAGAGTCCCAGCAGGAGGCCAGTCCCTGTGCTCCTCAGAGTCCCAGCAGGAGGCCAGTCCCTGTGCTCCTCAGAGTCCCAGCAGGAGTCCAGTCCCTGTGCTCAGAGCCCTCAGAGTCCCAGCAGGAGTCCAGTCCCTGTGCTCCTCAGAGTCCCAGCAGGGGGCCAGTCCCTGTGCTCCTCAGAGTCCCAGCAGGAGGCCAGTCCCTGTGCTCCTCAGAGTCCCAGCAGGAGTCCAGTCCCTGTGCTCCTCAGAGTCCCAGCAGGAGTCCAGTCCCTGTGCTCCTCAGAGTCCCAGCAGGAGGCCAGTCCCTGTGCTCCTCAGAGTCCCAGCAGGAGGCCAGTCCCTGTGCTCCTCAGAGTCCCAGCAGGAGGCCAGTCCCTGTGCTCCTCAGAGTCCCAGCAGGAGTCCAGTCCCTGTGCTCCTCAGAGTCCCAGCAGGAGGCCAGTCCCTGTGCTCCTCAGAGTCCCAGCAGGGGGCCAGTCCCTGTGCTCCTCAGAGTCCCAGCAGGAGGCCAGTCCCTGTGCTCCTCAGAGTCCCAGCAGGAGGCCAGTCCCTGTGCTCCTCAGAGTCCCAGCAGGAGGCCAGCCCCTGTGCTCCTCAGAGTCCCAGCAGGAGTCCAGTCCCTGTGCTCCTCAGAGTCCCAGCAGGAGGCCAGTCCCTGTGCTCCTCAGAGTCCCAGCAGGAGGCCAGTCCCTGTGCTCCTCAGAGTTTACTTTTACATGGAGTCAATAGGGGTCAAACTTCACTATGAGCACTTCCCTATACAGTCTGTGGTTGTTCTCGATTGCTTGTTGCCATGGCAACCTTTGGGGGCTGTGCCTCTGGGGCGAGGGGCAGATGTTTGGATCCTGAATTCTAAAGTTTAGATTAATTTGAGAAACATAATACAACTTCTGAGGCTGTAAAAAGAGAGAAGGGCGAGGGACAAACGCAGACACAGGTCACTACACGGAGCTTTAACTGAGAGGGCTCCAGCTCAGACTTCTGCAGCTCTAACTTCAAGAATTCAATCCATAAACACTTTGATAAACATGATACCGACAGTCTTTGAACGCAGCACAGACTCCCACAGTCTTTGAACGCAGCACAGACTCCCACAGTCTTTGAACGCAGCACAGACTCCCACAGTCTTTGAACGCAGCACAGACTCCCACAGTCTTTGAACGCAGCACAGACTCCCACAGTCTTTGAACGCAGCACAGACTCCCACAGTCTTTGAACGCAGCACAGACTCCCACAGTCTTTGAACGCAGCACAGACTCCCACAGTCTTTGAACGCAGCACAGACAACGACAGCAGTTTGAGCAGAAAGATCCATAAACAAACAACAAAACCCGCTTCGCGATGTGAGTTCAACGCTTTCTTCTCAGTGTTCGTGAAAGATGCATCAGTTTGAGATAAATATGGAAAAAAGAAACGCCCCAAACTTACATTCAACAAGTGCTAGAGGCTAAAGGCTAACGCTAGTACATGCTCAAAGTAGTATTTGTAAATGTTCAGGCTGTTCTCCTGCGGATGTAGAGACGTGTGGTGTTTACGTGATGGAGATGACGTTCTTTCACTTGTTTTATTAACACATGTTTTATTAACACTGCTGTTAGCATCTGTAGCACTTTCTCTCTTTGATTTGCAGGTTTTCAGCTAAATGCTCTTGATGCTAATTTTATAGTAGTTTAAAGTAGTTTAAAGTAGTTAGCTGCAGGTCTGAAGTGAACGATGATAGTTTCCAGTAGAAATGTTTGGATCGTGTCTGAAACTTTGAAAACATGAAATGCTCCAAAGAATAAAACTGCAGTTCGTCATTTACTAGTTTTTCATGTGTTAATATCACGCTCTCGTCCTCACGTTGCTATGATGTGCTTTACTCTTTATACATGGAACTATAATATTTCTGGACTAAATCTAGGCGTAGCTAAAGTCATGTGACGCTGTGACGTCATTTCCACAAGTTTGTTTGTTCTCATCGATTTGAATTGGTCCTGTCACTCCCGGATTCGTCCGGAAGTTCAGTTGGCGCATGTCTATCCATCCATTTTCTACCCTTTAACCCATTTCTGGGTCAGGGGAGTCTCATAGCACCAGCCCCTCACTCAGGGCTGGACTGGGACAAAAAAACGGCCCAGGCATTTTTTCCTTTTTAGCGGCCCAGGCAACTCAAAAGGTTCAAGGAGCCATATTTGACAAAAAAAAAAACAGCGTTGTATAAGGCTTATATGAAGGTAACAGGGGCTGAAGCTGTATTAGCTACCTTAGCTACATTAGCTATATTAGCTATATTAGACTAATATCTAAATGACAAAGTAAAGGCTACAAACACATAAAAACATTATCAAATGTGTATTTTCATTGCAGCGTGTCCTGGAGAGAATGACGCACCACTGCTTACCTCTGCTTAAAGTTTAACTTCCATTTTTTTGCCTTCATGCAATTGTACAAATACAGTAAATAAATCTGCTTTTTGGCTCAATTCACCTGCATCACTGTCTGTTCATATCCATCACAGGCTGAAGTTTGCTGGAGCTGAATGTCCTTAATGGCCTTTTCTTTCACCGTCTTAGCGAAGGTATTTGAAGTCTGAAAATAGGTGCTCTGACTTTATGATGAATTAATCCTTCAGTGAACGGTGTTTAAAGCTTCTTTGTTCCTCCTGTTGCAACAAAACTTTTCATTACAAACATGAAGCAGTCCTTCCTCACTGACTGAAAGCAAATGTTCATTCTCATTCTTAGTCCAGTCTTATCGACTCTCTCTCTTTATCTTTGGGATCCATGCGCACACACAGTCTATGATGCACACACGCCGGTTTGTTTACAGCAGTGGCCGCCTGGCACGGGCCGCGTCACAAGATATGACGCACTACGTTGACAGAAATGCAAAAATTGATTATTACTTATACAAGTTTTTGCAGCATTGAAAAACGTTAAGAATGTTGTTCCTCCTACAGAAACCACATTGAAACTAGAAATAAAATATAGCCCTCACACTCCATTTTCAGACATTTTTGAAAAGGCTCCAGGAGCCACTTTAGGGGCACTAAAAGTTGCCGACCCCTGGTTTATACAGTATGTGGAAGCAAATACTGTAGAGGATCAGGATGTCTGCAGTTTCAACAATAAAATAAAGTTCAATAGTCTACATTAAACAGAGTAATAAACATGTCTCAGAGTGAGGGAGGTGGACACAGACAACACTATTGTTTGTTACAGGGATGAGAATTGGTAAACATTTCTGAAATGCATATTGTCAGCCATTAGCTGGCTCTAAATCTGTTTAATCTGTTCACAACATTTTACTTTTGGGCTCAAACATGAACTTTTAATGCAATGGAAAATTTAGGTACCCGAGCTTTCATTTAGAGGAGAGGGGAGACGCGGACTGTTTTCTGCAGCGGTGTATTTATTGGGTGCACTGCACAAATTACGCAAAGACACGCATGGTCCTGTGCACGTTTATGGTCTTGGGTACATGGTCACGTTGCGGCTACGCGCTCACCGTGTTGTGTTGTGAGCGGCTCCTGCGTCCAGCTCAGAGCCGCTGGATGCGGGAACACTGCGGCCGCTGAGGTGGTGGAATCCCATTCGAGTACATACAGCAGGTGCCCCGCGGACACGCGCGCCCCCTCTAACAGTTCTCAACGGATTTACACTTTTCACAAACATGTGTTTTGTATGAGGGAGACAGACCGGCCCAAATATGGGCATCGGCCCTTCGGGCATTGCCCGGTACGCCCGATGGCCAGTCCAGCCCTGCCCTCACTGACCCTCTGCAGGTGGTGAGTCCACAGGAGGACGGCTGCTCTCTGAGCGGACTTGATCTTACAGTGGGGGCTCTTTGGGCAAAGTCGGGTTAAGTGTCTTGCCCAAGGACATAACGACAGCAGTCATCAGTGGGAGTCGGTGTAGAGGTGGGAATTGAACCCACGACCTTTAGGCCTGAAGGCCAATGCTCTACCAACTGAGCTACTGTAACTGTACTTGCACATGTCAAAAAGTTTAATATGTCCTTAAGTTGAGACTGGTTAAGTTTTAGGCGTCTGAGTAAGATGGTTAAGGTTGGGGTTATTTTATGGGAATGGCTGGTTAAGTTTAGGCATAAATAGGTAGTTTTTTATATTTACTTCCGCTTCCGTCCAGATTCCGTGACGTAATCTACTGCTGCGTATGCTCATTGGATCAAACTGAACTTCCGGACAAATCCGGTTTCCGGGACGAATACGGGAGTGACAGGTCCACAGGGAGAGACCACTGGGGGCGGGTCCCAGCTCAAAAGTGGCCAAAATGACATGCGCTGACATGCTGCAGTACCACCCCGGGCCTGTGGGGGTGGACCCAGAAGTAGAATTAGCCAATGCTAACATATAGCATTGGCAGACCTCTGGAAAACGTCTTTACAGGATGGACCAAAAGTTGTCTCTTGGCCCAAAGCTCCGGTCCACATGTGTGTCAATGCTGAGTGTTCTGGACCACTCTAGTTTACTTGCTGTGAATTTTTGAAGTCTCTCGTTCAGATGAATGGAGCTGCGCCGGTTCATGCTCAAATGCGTTTTTTCACAATTTTCTTGTGGGCGGAACCACTCGTGGCTATTTTGGATAGCTCCAGTAGAGCAAATTTGAACACATGTTCAAACACATGTTGATAAATGTCACACATGTTGATAAATGTCACACATGTTGATAAATGTCACACATGTTGATAAATGTCACACATGTTGATAAATGTCACACATGTTGATAAATGTCATACATGTTGATAAATGTCACACATGTTGATGAATGTCACACATGTTGATAAATGTCACACATGTTGATAAATGTCACACATGTTGATAAATGTCATACATGTTAATAAATGTCATACATGTTGATAAATGTCATACATATTGATAAATGTCACACATGTGATAAATGTCACACATGTGATAAATGTCACACATGTTGATAAATGTCACACATGTTGATAAATGTCACACATGTTGATAAATGTCACACATGTTGATAAATGTCACACATGTGATAAATGTCACACATGTTGATAAATGTCACACATGTGATAAATGTCACACATGTGATAAATGTCATACATGTGATAAATGTCATACATGTTGATAAATGTCACACGTGATAAATGTCACACATGTGATAAATGTCACACATGTGATAAATGTCACACATGTGATAAATGTCACACATGTGATAAATGTCACACATGTTGATAAATGTCACACATGTTGATAAATGTCACACATGTTGATAAATGTCATACATGTGATAAATGTCACACACGTTGATAAATGTCATACATGTTGATAAATGTCACACGTGATAAATGTCATACATGTTGATAAATGTCACACGTGATAAATGTCATACATGTGATAAATGTCATACATGTGATAAATGTCACACATGTTGATAAATGTCATACATGTGATAAATGTCATACATGTGATAAATGTCACACGTTGATAAATGTCATACATGTTGATAAATGTCACACGTGATAAATGTCATACATGTTGATAAATGTCACACGTGATAAATGTCATACATGTGATAAATGTCATACATGTGATAAATGTCACACATGTTGATAAATGTCATACATGTGATAAATGTCATACATGTGATAAATGTCACACGTTGATAAATGTCATACATGTTGATTAATGTCACACGTGATAAATGTCATACATGTTGATAAATGTCACACGTGATAAATGTCATGCATGTGATAAATGTCACACATGTTGATAAATGTCACACATGTGATAAATGTCATACATGTTGATAAATGTCACACATGTGATAAATGTCATACATGTTGATAAATGTCATACATGTTGATAAATGTCATACATGTTGATAAATGTCACACATGTGATAAATGTCATACATGTGATAAATGTCACATGTTGATAAATGATAAACGAGGACTGAGGCTGTAGACCAAGGACCTAAGCTACAGAACAAGGACCAGGGCCACGCAGCGGCCGCAGAACTTGGACAGAGATAAATCTGTAATAATTAATTTGTGTATTGTTACTAACGAGACAATGAGACATGTCCTGGACCTGAGTGTCCCCAGACCTGAGTGTCCCCGGACCTGAGTGTCCCCGGACCTGAGTGTCCCCGGACCTGAGTGTCCCCATATCTGTCTCTGTCTGTCTCTGTCTTCATGTCTGTTTGTCTCTCTGTCTGTCTCTGTCTGTCTGTCTTCATGTCTGTTTGTCTCTCTGTCTGTCTCTGTCTTCATGTCTGTTTGTCTCTCTGTCTGTCTCTGTCTTCATGTCTGTCTTTGTGTCTTCAGGTCGTCTCCAGTCCCAGAAAACCCTGCAGCTGGTTCCAACAGACGCCTGCAGCAAACACAGGCCCAGGTCGACGAGGTGAGGACTCTGCTGATGTCCCATACACCTGTCCTCTGTCTCTGTCTCAGTCCTCTCTCCTCTGTCTCTGTCCTCTGTCCTGTCCTCTGTCCTCTCTCCTCTGTCTCTGTCCTCTCTCCTCTGTCCTCTGTCCTCTCTCCTCTGTCTCTGTCCTCTCTCCTCTGTCCTCTGTCCTCTGTCCAGCCCTGTGTCCACCAGTCCTACTCTATTCTACTCCAATTTACAGTAGGTGGCAGTGTTGCCTCATACAAAGGTGCTTCATACACAGGTGCTTCATACACAGGTGCTTCATACACAGGTGCTTCATTCACAGGTGCTTCATACACAGGTGCCTCATACACACAGGTGCCTCATACACACAGGTGCCTCATACACAGGTGCTTCATTCACAGGTGCTTCATTCACAGGTACCTCATACACACAGGTGCCTCATAAACAGGTGCTTCATACACAGGTGCTTCATACACAGGTGCCTCATACACAGGTGCCTCTACTAACTCTGCCCATCTTCTGTAACTGCTCCACCCTTCTAACTCCGCCCATCTTCTATAACTGCTCCACCCTTCTAACTCCTCCCATCTTCAATAACTGCTCCACACTTCTAACTCCGCCCATCTTCAATAACTGCTCCACTCATCTAACTCCGCCCATCTTCTATAACTGCTCCACCCTTCTAACTCCGCCCATCTTCTATAACTGCTCCACCCTTCTAACTCCGCCCATCTCCTGTAACTGCTCCACACTTCTAACTCCGCCCATCTTCTATAGCTGCTCCACACTTCTAACTCCGCCCATCTTCTATAACTGCTCCACCCTTCTAACTCCGCCCATCTTCTATAACTGCTCCACCCTTCTAACTCCGCCCATCTTCTATAACTGCTCCACCCTTCTAACTCCGCCCATCTTCTGTAACTGCTCTACCCTTCTAACTCTGCCCATCTTCTGTAACTGCTCCAACCTTCTAACTCCGCCCATCTTCTATAGCTGCTCCACCCTTCTAACTCCGCCCATCTTCTGTAACTGCTCCACACTTCCAACTCCGCCCATCTTCTGTAACTGCTCCACACTTCTAACTCCGCCCATCTTCTGTAACTGCTCCACCCTTCTAACTCCGCCCATCTTCAATAACTGCTCCACTCATCTAACTCCGCCCATCTTCTATAACTGCTCCACCCTTCTAACTCCGCCCATCTTCTATAACTGGTCCACCCTTCTAACTCCGCCCATCTTCTGTAACTGCTCCACACTTCTAACTCCGCCCATCTTCAATAACTGCTCCACCCTTCTAACTCCGTCCATCTTCTATAACTGCTCCACCCTTCTAACTCCACCCATCTTCTGTAACTGCTCCACCCTTCTAACTCCGCCCATCTTCTATAGCTGCTCCACACTTCTAACTCCGCCCATCTTCTATAACTGCTCCACCCTTCTAACTCCGCCCATCTTCTATAACTGCTCCACCCTTCTAACTCCGCCCATCTTCTATAACTGCTCCACCCTTCTAACTCCGCCCATCTTCTATAACTGCTCCACCCTTCTAACTCCGCCCATCTTCTGTAACTGCTCCACCCTTCTAACTCCGCCCATCTTCTATAACTGGTCCACCCTTCTAACTCCGCCTATCTTCTGTAACTGCTCTACCCTTCTAACTCTGCCCATCTTCTGTAACTGCTCCACCCTTCTAACTCCGCCCATCTTCTGTAACTGCTCCACCCTTCTAACTCCGCCCATCTTCTATAGCTGCTCCACACTTCTAACTCTGCCCATTTTCTGTAACTGCTCCACCCTGCTAACTCCGCCCATCTTCTGTAACTGCTCCACACTTCTAACTCCGCCCATCTTCTGTAACTGCTCCACCCTTTTAACTCCGCCCATCTTCTATAGCTGCTCCACCCTTCTGACTCCGCCCATCTTCTATAGCTGCTCCACCCTTCTAACTCCGCCCATCTTCTGTAGCTGCTCCACCCTTCTAACTCCGCCCATCTTCTGTAACTGCTCCACCCTTCTAACTCCGCCCATCTTCTGTAACTGCTCCACCCTTCTAACTCCGCCCATCTTCTGTAACTGCTCCACCCTTCTAACTCCGCCCATCTTCTGTAACTGCTCCACCCTTCTAACTCCGCCCATCTTCTGTAACTGCTCCACCCTTCTAACTCCGCTCATCTTCTGTAACTGCTCCACCCTTCTAACTCCGCTCATCTTCTGTAACTGCTCCACACTTCTAACTCCGCCCATCTTCTGTAACTGCTCCACCCTTCTAACTCCGCCCATCTTCTATAGCTGCTCCACCCTTCTAACTCCGCCCATCTTCTGTAGCTGCTCCACCCTTCTAACTCCGCCCATCTTCTGTAACTGCTCCACCCTTCTAACTCCGCCCATCTTCTGTAACTGCTCCACCCTTCTAACTCCGCCCATCTTCTGTAACTGCTCCACCCTTCTAACTCCGCCCATCTTCTGTAACTGCTCCACCCTTCTAACTCCGCCCATCTTCTGTAACTGCTCCACAACACTTCTAACTCCGCCCATCCAGGGTCTTTAACCCAATCGGCTGCTCTGATTGGTCAAGAGGGCTTTATGTAATCCCTGTGGTTACGTAATAAAAGCATGAACCAAACCAAGTACACATGCAGGGAGACAGGGAGGGGGAGGGAGAGAGGGTGGGGGAGACAGGGGGTGGGGGGAGAGAGGGGGGGGAGGAGAGAGGTGGGGGGAGGAGAGAGGTGGGGGGAGACAGGGATGGGGAGAGAGAGGGTGTGGGGGGAGAGAGAGGGTGTGGAGGGAGAGAGAGGGGGTGGGGGGAGACAGGGAGGGGGAGAGTGCGGGTGGGGGGAGACAGGGAGGGGAGGGTAGAGAGGGAGGGAGTTTGTAGGTCAGTGGAACATGTAGAGCAGTGAGACTCTGACGAACCATTGATCCTTGTCTCTGCCTCTGCCTCTGCCTCTGTCTCTGTCTCTGTCTCTGTCTCTGCCTCTGCCTCTGCCTCTGCCTCTGTCTCTGTCTCTGCCTCTGCCTCTGCCTCTGCCTCAGCCTCAGCCTCTGCCTCTGCCTCTGCCTCTGTCTCTGTCTCTGTCTCTGTCTCTGCCTCTGCCTCTGCCTCTGCCTCTGTCTCTGTCTCTGTCTCTGTCTCTGCCTCTGTCTCTGTCTCTGTCTCTGCCTCTGTCTCTGTCTCTGCCTCTGCCTCTGCCTCTGCCTCTGCCTCTGCCTCTGTCTCTGTCTCTGCCTCTGTCTCTGTCTCTGTCTCTGCCTCTGTCTCTGCCTCTGCCTCTGCCTCTGTCTCTGCCTCTGCCTCTGTCTCTGTCTCTGTCTCTGCCTCTCTCTGCCTCTCTCTGCCTCTGTCTCTGTCTCTGCCTCTCTCTGTCTCTGCCTCTGTCTCTGTCTCTGTCTCTGCCTCTGCCTCTGCCTCTGTCTCTGTCTCTGTCTCTGTCTCTGTCTCTGCCTCTGCCTCTGTCTCTGTCTCTGTCTCTGCCTCTGCCTCTGTCTCTGTCTCTGTCTCTGTCTCTGCCTCTGTCTCTGTCTCTGTCTCTGTCTCTGCATCTGTCTCTGCCTCTGCATCTGTCTCTGTCTCTGTCTCTGTCTCTGTCTGCCTCTGTCTCTGTCCTCTGTCTCTGCCTCTGCCTCTGTCTCTGCCTCTGTCTCTGTCTCTGTCTCTGCCTCTGCCTCTGTCTCTGTCCTCTGCCTCTGTCTCTGTCTCTGCCTCTGTCTCTGCCTCTGCCTCTGCCTCTGTCTCTGTCTCTGTCTCTGCCTCTGTCTCTGCATCTGTCTCTGTCTCTGTCTCTGTCTGCCTCTGTCTCTGTCCTCTGTCTCTGTCCTCTGCCTCTGTCTCTGCCTCTGCCTCTGCCTCTGTCTCTGCCTCTGTCTCTGTCTCTGTCCTCTGGCCTCTGCCTCTGTCTCTGCATCTGTCTCTGTCTCTGTCTCTGTCTCTGTCTCTGCCTCTGTATCTGCCTCTGTCTCTGCCTCTGCCTCTGTCTCTGTCTCTGCCTCTGCCTCTGTCTCTGCATCTGTCTCTGTTTCTGTCTCTGTCTGCCTCTGTCTCTGTCCTCTGTCTCTGTCTCTGTCTCTGTCTCTGCCTCTGCCTCTGCCTCTGCCTGTCTCTGTCTCTGTCTCTGTCTGCCTCTGTCTCTGTCTCTGTCTCTGCCTCTGCCTGTCTCTGCCTCTGCCTCTGTCTCTGTCTCTGTCTCTGTCTGCCTCTGTCTCTGTCTCTGTCTCTGTCCTCTGCCTCTGTCTCTGTCTCTGTCTCTGTCTCTGCATCTGCCTCTGCCTCTGCCTCTGCCTCTGCCTCTGTCTCTGCCTCTGCCTCTGCCTCTGTCTCTGCCTCTGTCTCTGTCTCTGCATCTGTCTCTGTCTGCCTCTGTCTCTGCCTCTGCCTCTGTCCTCTGTCCTCTGTCCTCTGCATCTGTCTCTGCATCTGCATCTGTCTCTGTCTGCCTCTGCCTCTGTCTCTGTCTCTCTCTCTGTCTCTGTCTCTGCCTCTGTCTCTGCCTCTGTCTCTGTCCTCTGTTCTCTGTCCTCAGCCTCTGCCTCTGCCTCTCTCTCCCTCTCTGCCTCTGTCTCTGTCTCTCTCTCCCTCTCTGTCTCTGTCTGCCTCTGCCTCTCTCTGCCTCTGTCCTCAGTCCTCAGTCCTCTGTCTCTGTCTCTGTCCTCAGTCCTCAGTCCTCTGCCTCTGCCTCTGTCTCTCTCTCCCTCTCTGCCTCTGTCTCTGTCTCTCTCTCCCTCTCTGTCTCTGTCTGCCTCTCTCTGCCTCTGTCTCTGTCTCTGTCTCTGTCTCTGTCTCTGTCTCTGTCTCTGTCCTCAGTCCTCAGTCCTCAGTCCTCAGTCCTCAGTCCTCAGTCCTCAGTCCTCAGTCCTCAGTCCTCTGTCTCTGTCTCTGTCTCTGCCTCAGCCTCAGCCTCAGCCTCTGGTCCTGATGGTCCTGATGGCTCTGATGGTTCGGATGGTTCTGCTGGGTTCAGGTGGTTCTGATGGTCCTGCAGGTTCTGATGGTTCTGCTGGGTTGAGGTGGTTCTGATGGTACTGATGGTTCTGCTGGGTTCAGGTGGTTCTGCTGGGTTCAGGTGGTTCTGATGGTCCTGATGGTTCTGCTGGGTTCAGGTGGTTTTGATGGTCCTGATGGTTCTGATGATTCTGCTGGGTTCAGGTGGTTCTGATGGTACTGATGGTTCTGCTGGGTTCAGGTGGTTCTGATGGTAATAATAATAATAATAATAATAATGCATCAAACTTATATAGCGCTTTTTTGGACACTCAAAGACGCTTTACAAAACACGTAGAAATAAACATTGAAAAACAAAATTAAGGAAAGGCAAGATGAAACAGGTGGGTTTTTAGGAGAGATTTAAAGTTCTGTAGTGAGTCTGAGTTTCTGACGGGTTGAGGGAGTGAGTTCCAGAGAGTGGGGGCAGCTGCAGCGAAGGCTCGGTCCCCCAAGGTTCGATGTTTAGTCCTGAGGGGAGTGAGAAGGTTGGAGTCTGTGGATCTGAGGCGGCGGGTGGGACAGTGATGATGGAGGAGGTCAGTGAGGTAAGAGGGGGCCAGGTTATGGAGGGACTTGTAGGTGAGGAGGAGGACCTTGTATTGGATGCGGTATGGGACAGGGAGCCAGTGGAGTTGTTTGAGGACAGGGGTGATGTGATCTCTGGCGCGGGTGTGGGTGAGAAGGCGGGCGGCGGAGTTCTGAATGTATTGTAGTTTTTGAAGATGAGTGGAAGGGAGACCGAAGAGGAGGCTATTGCAGTAGTCAAGTCTAGAGGTGATGAAGGCATGAACCAGTATTTCAGCAGAGGATTGAGAGAGAGAGGGGAGGAGGCGAGCGATGTTACGGAGGTGGAAAAATGTGGGGTCTAAAGGAGAGGGTGGAGTCCATAATAACGCCGAGGTTGTGGCCGTCAATGTTGAGGGAGATGTTTTGAGCAGAGGGAAGGAATGACTTGGGTCCGGTGATGAGGAGTTCGGTTTTATTGCTATTTAGTTTTAAGAAATTGTGGTCCATCCAGAATTTAATGTCGGAGATGCAGTGTGTAATGGTGGAGAGGATGACTGGGGAGATGGATTTGGTGGAGATGTAGACCTGGGTGTCGTCAGCGTAGCAGTGAAAGTGTAGTCCATGGTGACGGATGATGTGGCCAAGGGGAAGCATGTAAATGATGAAGAGGAGGGGGCCCAGTACCGAACCTTGGGGAACACCAGTGGAGACACGGAAGGTTTGGGATGTGCAGTTGTTAATGGAAACATAATGATGACGGTCGGAGAGGTATGAAGAAAACCAGGATAGAACAGTGTTGGAGATGCCAATAGATTGAAGACGGTGGAGGAGGATAGAGTGGTCGATGGTGTCAAATGCTGCGGAGAGGTCAAGGAGGAGGAGGATGGAAAGGGAACCGGAGTCAGCTGCAAGGAGAAGATCGTTGGATACTTTTAGGAGGGCTGTTTCAGTGCTGTGATGGGGACGGAAACCGGATTGGAAAATTTCAAAGAGCGAGAAGGTGTGGAGGTATTGTTGAACTTGGGTTATGACGGCACGTTCTAGGATTTTTGATAGGAGGGGGAGATTTGAGATGGGGCGGAAGTTGTCCAGGTTTTCGGAGTCTAGGTTGGGTTTTTTGAGGAGTGGCTTGATGGTGGCGATTTTGAGATTTGGAGGGACAGTACCGGTGGTGAGGGAGGAGTTTATGATGTTTGTGATGAGTGGAGTCAGAGAGGGGATGCAGGCTTTCAGGAGAGTGGATGGAGTGGGGTCAAGGTGGCAGGTGCTGAGTTTCATGTTAGAGAGGAGCTTGGCGGTGTCGGTTGTTGAGAGCAGGGAGAAGGAGGAAAGGCTGTGATTTCTGGATAGGTCGACAGGGAAATGGGTTTCAAAGGAGAGATGGTGAGAGGAAGAGCTCTGCAGGGTATTGTGTATTGTATGGATCTTAGAATGGAAGAATGAGAGGTAATTGTTGCATTTGTCTGTTGTAAATGTGGAGGTGATATTGTCAATGGGCTTGGTGAGACGGGCGAAAGTGGAAAACAGAGTGCGTGAGTTAGAGGAATTGGAGCGAATCAGCTGAGAGAAATAATCAGAACGGGCGGATTTGAGAGCGGTGTTGTAGGTGTTGGTGAAGTATTTGTAGGCTTCGGCATGAACAGTAAGACCAGTCTTGGCGTGGAGTCTTTCAAGCTGTCGGCGTTTCTTCTTGAGGTTGTGAAGGTCTGGGGTGTACCAAGGAGCAGAGGTGGAAAAGAAGACTGTGGCAGTTTTGAGGGGAGCGAACTGGTTCAGGCAGGAGGAGAGGATCTGATTATGATGGTCGACGAGTTCTGAGGTGGATGAGTCAGGACGGGGGTGGGGGGAAGAGGATAAAGTAGTAGTTACGGAGGAGGCAAATGTAGTGGGGCTGAGGGACTTTAGATTGCGGTATGTTATTTTGCGTGTTTGTTTGGGAGTTTGACTGGGTATGGCAATATCGACGGTGACGGCTAGGTGGTCGGAGAGGGTGAGGTCTGTGAGAGTGATATTATCGATTGATAATGAGGCAGAGGAGCAGATGAGATCGAGAATATGACCATGAGAGTGAGTGGGAGAGTTTACATACTGGGTGAGGTTTAGGCAGTGTAAAATGTCCAGAAAATCGGCTGTGAATTTGGAGTGTGGATTATCAACATGGATGTTGAAATCTCCAAGGAGGAGAACAGAGGGAGAGATGGAGGAGAGCTGTGTGTAGAAGTCTGTAAAGTCTGAAAGGAAGGAAGTACAGGTTTTGGGGGGGCGGTATATAATGCCAACAATGGGGGATTGTGAACCAGAGAGTCTGAAGACCAGGTGTTCGAATGAGGTAGTGGCAGGGATGGAGATAGGGCGAAGATTGAGGTTGTGCTGGTAGATGACTGCAATTCCTCCTCCCCGACGTTCAGGGCGGGGGTTGTCGAGGTACGAGTATCCAGGTGGTGTGGTCTGATTTAGGGTCAGGTAGTCCATGGGCTTATGCCAGGTTTCGGTTAGACAGAAGAAATCCAGTTTATTGTCAGTTATAAATTCGTTTAGAATTAGGCTTTTATTATTTAGTGAGCGTGTGTTGAAGAGGGCCGCCTTGAGTGTTTTTTGTTGTAAAGTTGTTGTACAAGTTGGAATTGAGCGGAGGGTGAAAGGAGTCACGTGACTGGTGCGCAGATGACGCATACGGAAGTTCCCAAGATGGCGCGTGTTGTGATCAGTCCAGAGAGAGGGGATGCCGGTTTCGGTGGAGGAATGAAGGATGTACTTGCAACGGGAGCTTCTGTGAATGTAAGGACGACGTCGGAGAAGGCAGTGCTGCTTTATCGTGCTGATCAAGTCCAGTGTTGGAGGAGCGCGGTGGTTAAGACTGAGGAGCTGCGAGGATGTGCACCGGAGAGCCATGGTCGGAGATGTGGAGACAGCTGAGGGTGATGACAGCCCGTGCCAGGTCAGCAGAAAGGCCAGTAACAGAGGCCACATTGCCGAAAGCTCACTCCGAGATTCCAGAGGCCGGTGACCTAACTGCGTACCGCGGTTTGGGCGACTCGTAGCTGGTCTGGGCGCTCTGCACGGAGGCTTGATGGTGATCACGGCGAACACCCCAGCGATGACAGGCAAAGACCGGGTACAATCCAGTTCGGAAAAACGGGAGCAGATAAGTTTGGCCAGTAAAAGTAGTAAGTACAAAGATTTTATTGTAGCTTTTTCCTTATTTTTCCTCCGGGTGGAGAAGCGGCAGCCAAAACGCGCCAGCGTCCTCTCACAACCCCACTGGTACTGATGGTTCTGCTGGGTTCAGGTGGTTCTGATGGTCCTGATGGTTCTGCTGGGTTCAGGTGGTTCTGATGGTCCTGATGGTCCTGATGGTCCTGATGGTCCTGATGGTTCTGATGGTTCTGCTGGGTTCAGGTGGTTCTGATGGTTCTGCTGGGTTCAGGTGGTTCTGATGGTCCTGATTAGAGGTGCAACGGTTCATCACTGATCCGTGATCCGTTCGGTTCAACGTCTTCGGTTCGGTACAGACGTGATCCGCGGTTTGATTTATGAAAAAAAAGTTGTGCGCACGTTGTTCAGTCCACACACAGCGCGGTCATTGCGAGCGGAGGAACGGAGATGCTTGAAAGCCCTGCGTCATTTAAATCCCCAGTATGAGAGCATTTTGGCTTCACTGTAACTACACTGATAATTAATATTCGACAAAACTGTCACGATGTGTAAGCACTGTGGCACAAGAAAGACATGAGTGAAAAAAGCGTCTCAACGACCACCTATTGTCGCGGCATTTAAGCAGCTCCTTTACGCACAGTCAGACCGGGCTAAAGTCAACTCTCCCGCGCATCCTCAGCTGCGCTCACGACTGACGCTTGGACGTCCCGCGGAACCTATAATAGATCCATGAGCGGAACCGCTCACTTCATCACCGCAGACTGGGAGATGAGAAGTCTGGCGCTGCAGACACGCCCCCTCTACGACAGTCACACAGCTCAGGTACTGACACAAGCAGCGGAGGAATGGAAGACAAAGGCCCAGTACTAATATCCCAGTCACAACTGATAATGCCAAAGATTAAATAAATGCAGTGAATGAGGCTGGGCCCAGAATGGACCCCCTCCTCGGGAGAATCAGGAAGGTGGTTTAATATATGAGGGTAAATATCCTCATAAAGTGCCTTCTTATGTTGCACTTTGTGTTGTTTTTCATTAATTATGTTAAATAGACATAATTGGATGGATGGAATATGCCATCCATCCATTTCCTTCCCCTTAATTCATTTCTAGGTCAGGGGGGGCAGTCAGAGCAGGTGCCGAGTCCACATGAGCTGTGTTTATTAAAAAGACAACACTTTTTTTTTGAAAAATGAACCGAAAAATGAACCGAACCGTGGCCTCTGAACCGAGGTACGAACCGAACCGTGATTTTTTCAAACCGTTGCACCCCTAGTCCTGATGGTTCTGCTGGTTCTGATGGTTCTGCTGGTTCAGGTGGTTCTGATGGTTCTGCTGGGTTCAGGTGGTTCTGATGGTTCTGCTGGTTCTGATGGTTCTGCTGGGTTCAGGTGGTTCTGATGGTCCTGATGGTTCTGCTGGTTCAGGTGGTTCTGATGGTTCTGCTGGGTTCAGGTGGTTCTGATGGTTCTGATGGTCCTGATGGTCATGATGGTTCTCATGGTTCTGCTGGGTTCAGGTGGTTCTGATGGTCCTGATGGTTCTGCTGGTTCTGATGGTTCTGCTGGGTTCAGGTGGTTCTGATGGTCCTGATGGTTCTGCTGGTTCAGGTGGTTCTGATGGTTCTGCTGGGTTCAGGTGGTTCTGATGGTTCTGATGGTCCTGATGGTCATGATGGTTCTCATGGTTCTGCTGGGTTCAGGTGGTTCTGATAGTTCTGCTGGGTTCAGGTGGTCCTGATGGTCATGATGGTTCTGCTGGTTCTGATGGTCCTGGTGGTTCTGATGGTTCTGGTGGTTCTGATGGTTCTGATGGTTCTGATAGTTCTGCTGGGTTCAGGTGGTTCTGATGGTCCTGCTGGTCCTGATGGTTCTGATGGTCCTGATGGGTCTGATGGTCCTGATGGTTCTGATGGTCCTGGTGGTTCTGATGGTCCTGATGGGTCTGATGGTCCTGATGGTTCTGATGGTCCTGGTGGTTCTGATGGTCCTGATGGTCCTGATGGTTCTGATGGTCCTGATGGTTCTGATGGTCCTGGTGGTTCTGATGGTTCTGCTGGGTTCAGGTGGTTCTGATGGTCCTGATGGTTCTGATGGTCCTGATGGGTCTGATGGTCCTGCTGGGTTCAGGTGGTTCTGATGGTCCTGATGGTTCTGATGGTTCTGCTGGTTCAGGTGGTTCTGATGGTTCTGCTGGGTTCAGGTGGTTCTGATGGTTCTGATGGTCCTGATGGTCCTGATGGTCATGATGGTTCTCATGGTTCTACTGGTTCTGCTGGGTTCAAGTGGTTCTGATGGGTTCTGCTGGTTCTGATGGTCCTGGTGGTTCTGATGGTTCTGGTGGTTCGGATGGTTCTGATAGTTCTGCTGGGTTCAGGTGGTTCTGATGGTCCTGCTGGTCCTGGTGGTTCTGATGGTCCTGCTGGTCCTGATGGTCCTGGTGGTTCTGATGGTCCTGCTGGTCCTGATGGTCCTGGTGGTTCTGCTGGTCCTGATGGTTCTGATGGTCCTGATGGTCCTGATGGTCCTGATGGTCATGGTGGTCATTGTGGTTCTGATGGTTCTGCTGGTTCTGATGGGTTCAGGTGGTGGACATCATGAGAGTGAACGTGGACAAAGTGCTGGAGCGAGACCAGAAGCTGTCGGAGCTGGACGATCGAGCGGACGCTCTTCAGGCCGGAGCCTCTCAGTTCGAGAGCAGCGCCGCCAAACTCAAGAGGAAGTACTGGTGGAAGAACTGCAAGGTGTGAGCACAGGGACTGAGCACAGGGACGGACTCAGGGACGGACTCTCAGGGACGGACTCACAGGGACGGACTCTGGAACGGACTCAGGGACGGACTCACAGGGACGGACTCTGGAACGGACTCAGGGACGGACTCACAGGGACGCACACAGGGACGCACACAGGGACGCTCACAGGGACGCTCACAGGGACGCACAAAGGGACGCACACAGGGACGCTCACAGGGACGCACACAGGGACGCACACAGGGACGCACAAAGGGACGCACAGGGACGCTCACAGGGACGCACACAGGGACGCACACAGGGACGCACACAGGGACGCTCACAGGGACCCTCACAGGGACCCACACAGGGACCCACACAGGGACCCACACAGGGACGCACACAGGGAAGCTCACGCTCACAGGGACCCTCACAGGGACCCACACAGGGACCCACACAGGGACCCACACAGGGACGCACACAGGGAAGCTCACAGGGACGCACACAGGGACGCACACAGGGACCCACACAGGGACCCACACAGGGACGCACACAGGGACGCACACAGGGACGCACAAAGGGACGCACACAGGGACGCACACAGGGACGCACACAGGGACGCACACAGGGACGCACACAGGGACGCTCACAGGGACGCTCACAGGGACCCACACAGGGACGCACACAGGGACGCTCACAGGGACGCACACAGGGACGCACACAGGGATGCACACAGGGACGCACACAGGGACGCACACAGTCTGCTCCAAAAAAACTCTCTCTGGTCTCTCTCTGGTCTCTCTGGTCTCTCTCTGGTCTCTCTCTGGTCTCTCTGGTCTCTCTCTGGTCTCTCTCTGGTCTCTCTCTGGTCTCTCTCTGGTCTCTCTCTGGTCTCTCTCTGGTCTCTCTCTGGTCTCTCTCTGGTCTCTCTCTGGTCTCTCTCTGGTCTCTCTCTGGTCTCTCTCTGGTCTCTCTGGTCTCTCTCTGGTCTCTCTCTGGTCTCTCTCTGGCCTCTCTCTGGTCTCTCTCTGGTCTCTCTCTGGCCTCTCTCTGGTCTCTCTCTGGTCTCTCTCTGGTCTCTCTCTGGTCTCTCTCTCTGGTCTCTCTGGTCTCTCTCTGGTCTCTCTCTCTGGTCTCTCTCTGGTCTCTCTCTGGTCTCTCTCTGGTCTCTCTCTGGCCTCTCTCTGGCCTCTCTCTGGTCTCTCTCTGGCCTCTCTCTGGCCTCTCTCTGGTCTCTCTCTGGTCTCTCTCTCTGGTCTCTCTCTCTGGTCTCTCTGGTCTCTCTCTGGTCTCTCTCTGGTCTCTCTCTGGTCTCTCTCTCTGGTCTCTCTCTGGTCTCTCTCTGGTCTCTCTCTGGTCTCTCTCTGGTCTCTCTCTGGTCTCTCTCTCTGGTCTCTCTCTCTGGTCTCTCTCTGGTCTCTCTCTGGTCTCTCTCTGGCCTCTCTCTGGTCTCTCTCTGGTCTCTCTCTGGTCTCTCTCTCTGGTCTCTCTCTGGTCTCTCTCTGGTCTCTCTCTGGTCTCTCTCTGGCCTCTCTCTGGTCTCTCTCTGGTCTCTCTCTGGCCTCTCTCTGGTCTCTCTCTGGTCTCTCTCTGGTCTCTCTCTGGTCTCTCTCTCTGGTCTCTCTCTGGTCTCTCTCTGGTCTCTCTCTGGTCTCTCTCTGGTCTCTCTCTCTGGTCTCTCTGGTCTCTCTCTGGTCTCTCTCTCTGGTCTCTCTCTGGTCTCTCTCTGGTCTCTCTCTGGTCTCTCTCTGGTCTCTCTCTGGTCTCTCTGGTCTCTCTCTGGCCTCTCTCTGGCCTCTCTCTGGTCTCTCTCTGGTCTCTCTCTGGTCTCTCTCTGGTCTCTCTCTGGTCTCTCTCTGGTCTCTCTCTGGTCTCTCTCTGGTCTCTCTCTGGTCTCTCTCTAACCTGTTGTGTGTGTGGTTCAGATGTGGGCCATCCTCATCGCCGTCATCCTCATCATCGTCATCATCATCATCGGTCAGTTCTTTATTTCTCTCTTTATTTCATTCACAATAATATGACAGTCTTCTTCTCTTTCAGTCTGGAGCGTGTCAGGATGAAGACTACGTCACATGGTCACATGACCACATGACCACATGGTCACATGGTCACATGACCACATGATCACATTATATACATACATATACACACATGTGTATTACTCTACATACACATATACATATACACACCCACATATACAGACACACATATACACACACACACATATACAGACAGACAGACAGACACACATATACACACACACATATACATACAGACAGACAGACACACATATACACACACACATATACATACAGACAGACAGACACACATATACAGACAGACACACATATACATACAGACAGACACACATATACAGACAGACACACATATACACACACACATAGACAGACAGACACACATATACACACACACACATATACATACAGACAGACAGACACACATATACATATACACACATATACAGACAGACAGACACACATATACACACACACACACATATACAGACAGACAGACACACATATACACACACACATATACAGACAGACAGACACACATATACACACACACATATACAGACAGACACACATATACAGACAGACAGACACACATATACACACACACACATATACAGACAGACACACATATACAGACAGACAAACAGACACACATATACACACACACACATATTCAGACAGACATATACACACACACATACAGACAGACACACATATACAGACACACAAACTCTTTTCAGTGCCTTCATTGTCAATGGTTGCCATGGTAACAGGCTTCAATCTGCATAAACAATATATATGTTTAATCTAATGTTCTTCACTCCAGAGATCGACAGTTTGAACTGTAGCTGTTTCTAACGCCAAAAACTAAACTTTACTCTTTCTACTTCTGTTGTGTGTTTTTATTTTTTATTTTTAAATGTAGCTTTAGCTGTGTGTAAAGAATATTATATATACATATTCTGTGCCATGTGAATCTGTTTCTTTGCTTTTTTTGAATGAACAGGAAGTGTTAAGTTAAAGACGGAGCCTCAAACACTGGATTTCTGGTTATTTTCCCCAAAAATGAAGTTTCTTTTTTATGTTTGTGAAATTGTAGTTGTTGCTTAAATTGTGTTTGTAAATGTTTTTGCCATAAACATGAGTTAAATGTATGTACACATATACACTGCCGTTCTAAAGTTTGGGGTCAAGTGTTTTCCATGAAAAGTCACTTATTCACCACCGTACGTTGGGAAATGAATAGAAAACAGAGTCAAGACATTGACAAGGACAGAAATAAGATTTGTTTTACATCAAACTTTGCTTTCGTCAAAGAATCCTCCATTTGCAGCAATTACAACATTGCACCAAAAACCAGACATTTGCAGCAAGAACAGTCATTTACCACATAACAGTGTTTTAGAGTCTGTTTCTTTACAGTTAAGACCAGGGCTGGACTGGGACAAAAAAACGGCCCAGGCATTTTTTCCTTTTTAGCGGCCCAGGCAACTCAAAAGGTTCAAGGAGCCATATTTGACAAAAAAAAAAACAGCGTTGTATAAGGCTTATATGAAGGTAACAGGGGCTGAAGCTGTATTAGCTACCTTAGCTACATTAGCTATATTAGCTATATTAGACTAATATCTAAATGACAAAGTAAAGGCTACAAACACATAAAAACATTATCAAATGTGTATTTTCATTGCAGCGTGTCCTGGAGAGAATGACGCACCACTGCTTACCTCTGCTTAAAGTTTAACTTCCATTTTTTTGCCTTCATGCAATTGTACAAATACAGTAAATAAATCTGCTTTTTGGCTCAGTTCACCTGCATCACTGTCTGTTCATATCCATCACAGGCTGAAGTTTGCTGGAGCTGAATGTCCTTAATGGCCTTTTCTTTCACCGTCTTAGCGAAGGTTTTTGAAGTCTGAAAATAGGTGCTCTGACTTTATGATGAATTAATCCTTCAGTGAACGGTGTTTAAAGCTTCTTTGTTCCTCCTGTTGCAACAACACTTTTCATTACAAACATGAAGCAGTCCTTCCTCACTGACTGAAAGCAAATGTTCATTCTCATTCTTAGTCCAGTCTTATCGACTCTCTCTCTTTATCTCTGGGATCCATGCGCACACACAGTCCATGATGCACACACGCCGGTTTGTTTACAGCAGTGGCCGCCTGGCACGGGCCGCGTCACAGGATATGACGCACTACGTTGACAGAAATGCTAAAATTGATTATTACTTATACAAGTTTTTGCAGCATTGAAAAACGTTAAGAATGTTTTTCCTCCTACAAAAACCACATTGAAACTAGAAATAAAATATAGAGCCCTCACACTCCATTTTCAGACATTTTTGAAAAGGCTCCAGGAGCCACTTTAGGGGCACTAAAGGTTGCCGACCCCTGGTTTATACAGTATGTGGAAGCAAATACTGTAGAGGATCAGGATGTCTGCAGTTTCAACAATAAAATAAAGTACAATAGTCTACATTAAACAGAGTAATAAACATGTCTCAGAGTGAGGGAGGAGACACAGACAACACTATTGTTTGTTACAGGGATGAGAATTGGTAAACATTTCTGAAATGCATATTGTCAGCCATTAGCTGGCTCTAAATCTGTTTAATCTGTTCACAAAATTTTACTTTTGGGCTCAAACATGAACTTTTAATGCAATGGAAAATGTAGGTACCCGAGCTTTAATTTAGAGGAGAGGGGAGACGCGGACTGTTTTCTGCAGCGGTGTATTTATTGGGTGCACTGCACAAATTACGCAAAGACATGCATGGTCCTGTGCACGTTTATGGTCTTGGGTACATGGTCACGTTGCGGCTACGCGCTCACCGTGTTGTGTTGTGAGCGGTTCCTGCGTCCAGCTCAGAGCCGCTGGATGCGGGAACACTGCGGCCGCTGAGGTGGCGGAATCCCATTCGAGTACATACAGCAGGTGCCCCGCGGACACGCGCGCGCCCCTCAAACATTTCTCAACGGATTTACACTTTTCACAAACATGTGTTTTGTATGAGGCAAACAGACCGGCCCAAATATGGGCATCGGCCCTTCGGGCATTGCCCGGTACGCCCGATGGCCAGTCCAGCCCTGGTTAAGACTAGTTTAAAGTTATCTACAGCTTTTCCTTCAAAAATAAGGACATTTCAATGTGACCCCAAACTTCTGAACAGTAGTGTATATATGTATATATATGTATATATATACATATATATGTATTTGTGCTTCTGATCTTTTGCTGCTTAAAAATTTAAGTGCAATTTTAATTCTTAGTTTGTCTTTGGTTCAATAAAACCACATCATTTATCAGTGTTTATTAAACATCAGTGTTTATTCTACACCAGAATGTAGTATATATATATATATATATATTACACACATATACATACATACAGTAGAGACCAAAAGTGTGGACACCCTCTCTCCTTCACTGAGTTCTTTTCATGACTATTGCTGTAGAGCCACACCAGGCTGTGTAAGGGCTGTTTGACCAATAAGGAATAATTTTCTTAATCATGAAAATAAAAAACTGAATGAGAAGGTGTCCAAACGTTTGGTCTGTACTGTACATGTATATATGTGTATATATGTATTTATATTTATGCATATGTATGTTATGTGTGTATAATGAGAGAATCCGCGTGTGTCCGTCCTATGTGTCTCCACGTGAGACGATGACCGCACCGCTTCGACAAACTCCGCCCTTTCATTCCTCTCCTCCAATCACGGCCCTCTTTCCCGTGAGTCCGACCAATCAGCGCGCTGCGAGGGCGGTCTCCATCTTCTGGACTCACGTTGCAGGAATGTGTCTTACGTACGTTTGAATCGTTTTGTTAGCGCTAAAGATTCCACTGGAGTTATCCACTTTATCAAACCCGGGAAGTGTCACGGATTCATCTGCTGAGTGTAGGTGTGTAGGCAGTATGTGTGTAGGCAGTATGTGTGTAGGCAGTACACACATACTGTGCTGTCTCCCATGATCCTCATACGTTACGTCCTTACGTCGCACTTTCAACTCTTGCACATCAAGAGACTGGAATTCTTGCCCATTCTTCCTTGCAAAACAGCTGGAGCTCAGTGAGGTTGGATGGAGAGCGTTTGTGAACAGCAGTCTTCAGCTCTTTCCACAGATTCTCGATTGGATTCAGGTCTGGACTTTGACTTGGCGATTCTAACACCTGGATACGTCTATTTGTGAATTCCATTGTAGATTTGGCTTTATGTTTTGGATCATTGTCCTGTTGGAAGATAAATCTCCGTCCCAGTCTCAGGTCTTTTGCAGACTCCAACAGGTTTTCTTCCAGAATGGTCCTGTATTTGGCTCCATCCATCTTCCCATCAATTTTAGCCATCTTCCCTGTCCCTGCTGAAGAAAAGCAGGCCCAAAGCATGATGCTGCCACCACCATGTTTGACAGTGGGGATGGTGTGTTCAGGGTGATGAGCTGTGTTGCTTTTACGCCAAACATATCGTGTTGCATTGTGGCCAAAAAGTCCTTCCTCCACATGTTTGGTGTGTCTTCCCAGGTGGCTTGTGGCAAACTTTAAACCAGACTTTTTATGGATATCTTTGAGAAATGGCCACTCTTCCATAAAGGCCAGATTTGTGCAGTGCACGACTGATTGTTGTCCTATGGACAGACTCTCCCACCTCAGCTGTAGTTATCTGCAGTTCATCCAGAGTGATCATGGGCCTCTTGACTGCATCTCTGATCAGTCTTGTCCTTGTTTGAGATGAAAGTTTGGAGGGACGGCCGGGTCTTGGTAGATTTGCAGTGGTCTGATACTCCTTCCATTTCAATGTAACTGCTTGCACAGTGCTCCTTGAGATATTCAAAGCTTGGGAAATCTCTTTGTATCCAAATCCGGCTTTAAACTTCTCCACAACAGTATCTCGGACCTGCCTGGTGTGTTCCTTTGTCTTCATGGTTCTCTCTGTGCTTTAAACAGAACCCTGAGACTATCAAAGAGCAGGTGCATTTATACGGAGACTTGATTACACACAGGTGCATTCTATTTATCATCATCA